CGAAAGCTGGCGCTGCTAGCGAGAGTTCTCTAAGCTTAGCTTTTGTTAGGGGCTAAGCTTCACACAATGCTTGATTTAATCAGGGTTTGTGCGGGGGGGCTAAAGCCTGAATCGCATGAACAGATCGCTAATAGGCGGGAACCCCCCCACTTGCAGGGTTCGATTGCTCATGACCTGGTCCAAGTTTGGGTCTTAATGACTTTCTCGATGTTCGGCTGGCTAGCTTTCGTTCACCCTCCGCTCAAGTTCCTTGCGGTTCCTTTGGCCCGTGGTCAGCAGGTTTCTCCAATACCCCCACTGGACCCTGACTTCCGGTGAGAATGTAGCGGTTTGTACCTTTTCGCTCAAACTGTCAGCCAACCCGACGGACAGATGGGCCGCAAGCGCCCCTTTTCGTCATGCATGCATGAGCTGACAAGAAGAAGATGCAATCACAAATTGCAGATGCTTGCCCTCGTCGGTCTCCTGGTGCTCCCGGTTGGGCTTCAGGCTCTTTGTTTGGCATTGAGTGGTGCCATAGTGGATAGTGGAAGAGGAGATCTGATCGAGTCCGCCCAATCAACTTCTTCGAGAACTTAGAGACTTGGAAGAAAAGAACACCCGGATATCCCAAAAGATATGGAAGATATGGAGACTGCTTCTGAGTATGAAATCAAAAGACCTGAGTTGGGCATCTGCAAGAATCATGGTCGGGGCATCCGGATGATGGGAATTCATGAGCCCATCGTCAGATAGGTTTTGGTTCAAAGTAATCAGACAGGTTTGGATTGGTGGTTTGGTGGTCAGGGAGGGGTTTCCGATTTACCCTCTACAAGAAGCACGGGTTTGAATCCCCAAACCACCAATTCAATCCAAACCACCAAGTGATGAGAAGCGAAGCAACAGTCCTCAAAGCTGTTTGATGGTCGATGCTTCAAACGATTGCGAGTTGTCACCAGAAGGGGCCCATCACACCTAAAGTGGATTTGCAAAGTGCTTCTACACTCTGAGGGAGGCATCCAAAAGGGAAATCATTCAAAGGTAAACACTGCCATATTAATATGCGCATGGTGGCAAAGCCCTTATGGCTGCCTGGAATCACGCACCCGGTTCTGGGTCCTCCTTTCCACGCGCGGCAACCTGAACCCAACTATGGTGGCGTGGCGATGTTCCCGTTGTCATACGGGCGATTCATCCTCTAGGAAACGCGGACCCCCCCTCCCCCGGCGCTGGATTCACTGGGATCTTTGGGCCTGGAGAAGAGAATGGACAACTCCTAATGCCAATCGCTGATTCGGCGTTTCATTCGTGGGGCATTCAGTTTCCAAAAGGATTCCTTTGGGTATCCTTCGGATGCATCTGAAGTGAAGTCGGTGCTCTTCCACCAGCTTCCCCGGAAGTGCAGAGGCTGCTTTCCAAGAGGCAACTGGTGGAATTGTCAACCGCCACCATCGAATCAACTCAAAGCGACCATTTCAACCCACCATACACTCGCTTCCCGAGTTCATGAACTTTAAACTGTTTGGAAAGACATGGAAAGACCGTTTTCGTGGTAAATATAAAGTTTGCACTTTTTGTTGGGCCATCCACTCAGCAAGTGAGTACCTACCCATTCGGAGACCCATTCGGAGCCAGGCGACGGTGCGGCGGTCGAAGCGGTCGCCGGCGTGGCGCCGGTTGCTCAGGGAACAGTTGGAATGTCCCCCCCATAAACCATCCCCTATGGTTTCCTTTAAGGGAAACAGTAGGTTCATTCCCAACGCCCTGGGTCATTCCCTGAGCACCAAGTCATGGTTGTTGACAGCCCGGAAGATTTCTGTGCGACCTGGACCAAAAGTCTGCGACCTCTCATGATCAAAGTTCCTTTCTTAGGAGCCCCCAGTAGACCATTCCTTGGGAGGCTTGCGACTCTAAGTGGGGGTGGACAGAACCACCCATTTCATGCACACATATTTTGAACATTTCGCTTTATTACTCAGTTGCGAGCATTCACCTTGTAGTGTTGCCAGCCGCATGTTCCTGTCTAGAAAGTGGTCTTGGTTTAGGCGGCGGCTCAGTGACAGCGACATACCAACACATCCAGTGGAGGGGCCGATGACAGTCTGCTGCATCATAGTCCTTGGAATTTGTTCTCCTGGGTGCTACAATCGTGTGTGAATGCGTGTGTGTGTGTGTGTGGGTGCGTGCGTGCGTGCGTGCGTGCGTGCGTGCGTGCGTGCGTGCGTGCGTGCGTGCGTGCGTGCGTGCGTGCGTGCGTGCGTGCGTGCGTGCGTGCGTGCGTGCGTGCGTGCGTGCGTGCGTGCGTGCGTGCGTGCGTGCGTGCGTGCGTGCGTGCGTGCGTGCGTGCGTGCGTGCGTGCGTGCGTGAGTGCGTGCGTGCGTGCGTGCGTGCGTGCGTGCGTGCGTGCGTGCGTGCGTGCGTGCGTGCGTGCGTGTGCGTGCGTGTGTGTGTGTGTGTGTGTGTGTGTGTGTGTGTGTGTGTGTGTGTGTGTGTGTGTGTGTGTGTGTGTGTGTGTGTGTGTGTGTGTGTATGTGTGTGTGTGTGTGTGTGTGTGTGTGTGTGTGTGTGTGCGTGCGTGTGCGTGTGCGTGTGCGTGTGCGTGTGCGTGTGCGTGTGCGTGTGCGTGTGCGTGTGCGTGTGCGTGTGCGTGTGCGTGTGCGTGTGCGTGCGTGTGCGTGTGCGTGTGCGTGTGCGTGTGCGTGCGCGTGTGCGTGTGCGTGTGCGTGTGCGTGTGCGTGTGCGTGTGCGTGTGCTTGTGCGTGTGCGTGTGCGTGTGCGTGCGCGTGTGTGCGTGTGTGCGTGTTTGCGTGTGTGCGTGTGCGGGTGCGTGCGTCTTTTTTTTGTTGAAGGTCACCTCTAGAGGGAGGACCCACAAGAAGCCAGCATTTCCCTCTTGGACACCTACCCACATGAGCTAAGCCTTTGCTCGCTTTCCTACGCGGGAACCACAAGGGCGCGAATCACGGTGATGCAGAATTGGACTCTGGGGTGTTGTTGGGGCCTATTCTGCATGTTCGCGGTCACGTGGCACAGGGACCCCGACCAGGCCGCCAGACATGTGAAAGGTGAGTGAGCCATTCCTGTGCACAAGCATCAGGCATCTAGCCTTTGTGTCAAAAGGATATCCTTCCCAGACTGGTTCTGAGTCACCGAAAACAAAACACGGATTTGTTTTTGAAGGCCTGGCGCCGCCAAGTCTTTGTTGGAGGGTGACCCCATCTGGAATGACGTTGGCGTTGCGCAGCAGCCTTCGTTGCCGAGGTCCAACGGGCAGGCAGAGATGGCATGGGGAGTTCAATGTTTGGCGAGACACCGGCAAACATGGAGAGGGGGTGCTGGAGGATCCCTTAGTCTTGCAGACAACGGTGCCCGCTGACGCAGACGACCTTCTCAGTAGCAAGTTGTGGGAATCCATGCTTGGTTTGAAGGTCACGCTGATAGAAAACACTTTCCCATTTTCCCGACCCTTTGCTGGCAATCTTCGAGGCAACCAACCTGCTACCCAACCAACCAAGCAAGCCAACAAGCAAGCAACGAAGCAAGCAAAGACACAAGCAAAGAAGCGAGCACCAAAGCAGGCAAAGACGCAAGCAAAGAAGCAAGCACGCAAGCAAGCAACCAAGCAAGCAAGCACGCGCACACGCACGAAAGCAAGCAAGCAAGCAAGCAAGCAAGCAAACGCCCACACGTACCCACGCGCACACACACAAGCAAACAAGCAAGCAAGCAAGCAAGCAAGCAAGCAAGCAAGCAAGCAAGTAGGCCGGCAGGCAGACAGGCAGGCAGGCAGGCCAGGAAACCCACACACGAACATATGCTTACACACAACCACTAAAAAAGAAAGCAAGCAAGCAAACAAAGAGAGAAATAAACAATCACACAAACAATCAAACAAACACACAAACAAACAACCAAACAACCAAACAACCAAGCAAGCATCAGACATGCCTGGCTTATCCACTCAGCGCAGACTCCTGAAGCTGCCTGGTTTCCGCAGGCACCTGCTGAGGAGCAGGCAGGGGAAAGATGGAAGGTCCTTGCCACACCTCACCCAAGTTGTACTGCTCTTCTTTGGGGCATCTTGCTTGGATGTTAGGATTTTAACTTTTTGCCAACTACTGGGATTTCCATTAAACCACTAAAAGTTAAACTTTTAGCAGGGGAGCAGAAAGCAACCGAGTCTTCCAGGGGTCCCGAAGTGGCCTCGTTTGAGCCGGAGGAGGATTCTTGTGTGTCGAAACACAAGTTACCGGTCGGTGAGTCTTTCACCAGTTTCGCCGATGTGTGAAGTCACCGTTCGGGTCTCAGAGCCTTTGTGATCTCGGGTCGGGCTTGCGAATTGATCCATCCCTTTCTCAGTGAGCTGCTTGCGTTCCACAGGACACTGGCAGTTCACCTGGTGACTTGCCCGTTGTCACGAAAGCTAGCTTTAGCTAGCTGAAGTTTCTCCTTGCGTAAGCAAGGTAAGGGGCTCAAATGCCGAAAGATTGATTTTTTCAATTATTTGAGCCGAAAAGATTGAAAAACATCAATCATTTAGACCCCCCCCCCCTCCCCCCCCCCCCGGTCTCAGGCTCGATTCCTCCCTGGTCCATCCCCCAGGCAGTGGCTCAGTGTTCAGCAGTCTCGGTTTGCCCGTTTTGGACTTGGTGCTACGAACTTTTACATGTTCCACCGATTCAGCTTGTTCATTTGAGACCTCAGTCTTCTCGGTAAACCACCTCGCAAGAATCTTTGCACACGCTGCATGCAAAACCCGGAGGTGCTTTAAGACAGCTTCTGACGCCTCTCGTTGCTTTCATTTTTCAAGGTTTGCCACGCCACCATGTGCGTTTGCGTGTCGCATCCTACGAATCTTGCCGGGCCTCTCGTTGTACACAAGCTACCTATGAATCCACTCTGTCACCGACCCATCTCATGCAACAACTGCTAGCTTTCGTTCACCCGCTCCTCAAGTTTTTTGCTTTGCTTGATGTTTCGTTGCGCCCGTAGAGCAGGCGCATCAGGCAAGCCAAGTCCAGATGCAGCAACTGCAGGCTGGGAGTTGTCTTGGATATGTTTGTCGTGCAAGGGCATCCTAGTGATGGCTGAGCCACACTTGCGTTGAAATTGGCAGCCAAACACATGCACAATTTGCTAGGAATATGTGACCCGACATACAGACTGTGAACTGATTGTGGATCAGGAACATGTTAACGTGCCAGGGTGGCATAAGGTGTTGCGAATGTGCACTGTCGACATGTCATGGTCTTTGTCAAAGCTTTCATGGGTGCTCGCACAGACCGCTGCTGTCTTGAGCAGCAGCGTTTTCCTTGAATGCCGAGAATCGTAGACTACCAGCCAGGTGGTGGGTTATGACAAGAGGCAATGCTGCGCAGACCAGTTAGTGAGGCAGTTGGAGCTTGGAGTTTCATGTTGTTTCTTCAGCTTCTGTGCGATGGCTGCATTGAGGGTCACCATCGCCTGCGCTTGCTGTGTTGACAATTGGGCAGGCGCATCAGGCAAGTCAGATGCAGATGCAGCAAATGCAGGCTGGGAGTTGTCTAGGAGATGTGCGCCATGCAAAGCTTGCTCGGCGAGAGCTTGCTGAGCAACACAGCCACACTTGCTTGTGGACCATGTTGGATTCACTGTGTTGTGCATGTGGAGTTGCGACATTTTTTGCACCAGTGCCATCTCGTCAAAGCTTTCATGAGCGTTTCAACGCCGCTAGGGGCTTGAGCAGCAGCTTTTTTTTTGAATGTTGAGCATCGTAGATATCGTAGACCACCAGCCAGAGTGATGGGTTATGAGAAGAGGCAATGTTACGTAGACGGGTGTGCTTAGTGAAGCAGGTGGAGTTTGGAGTTTCATGTTTTTTCTTCAGCTTCTGAGCAATGGCTGCATTGAGTGTCACCACCTCCTACTCTTGCTGTGTTTACACTGGGCAGGCGCATCAGGCAAGTCAGATGCAGATGCAGCAAATGCAGGCTGGGAGTTGTCTAGGAGATCTGTGCCATACAAAGCTTGCTCTGTGCGAGCTTGCTGAGCCATACAACCACACTTGTCTTGCCTGGAAGCAGAACAGGTCGGAATGGTTTAGAAAGTGTGACCGGACACCCACTCTGATTTGCTCACGGAACATGTTTGAGGGTGGCGAACTGTGTTGTGCATGTGCAATTGCGACATGCCATGAATTTTGCACCAGGGCCGTCAGAGCTTCATGAGCGTTTTAGCGCTGCTAGGTGCTTGAGCAGTTTTTTTTGAATGCGGAGCATCGTAGACCACCAGCCAGAGTGATGGGTTATGACAAGCGGCAATGTTACGTAGAAGGGTGCGGTTAGTGAAGCAGTTGGAGCTTGGAGTTTCATATTTGTTCTTCAGCTTCTGAGCAATGGCTGCATTGAGTGTCACCACCGCCTACTCTTGCCGTGTTTACGCTTGGGCAGGCGCATCAGGCAAATCAATTGCAGATGCAGCAACAGCAGGCCGGTAGTTGTGTATATAGGAGATGTGTGTGTGTGTGCGTCATGCAAGGGTTGCTCAGTGTAACGTGGCTGGCGAAGCCACACTTGTCTTGCCTGCAAAGTGCATTTAGAATCGTTTAGAACTTGTGTCCTTACATACGGACTGTCAACTGCTCATGGAACATGTTTGAGGGTGGCGTAATTTGTTGTGCATGTGCAACTGCGATATGCCATGTTTTTTGCACCAGTGCCGTCAAAGAGCTAGTGAGGCAGTTGGAGCTTGGAGTTTCATGCTTGTTCTTCAGCTTGTGTGCAATGGCTGCATTGAGTGTCACCACCGCCTACGCTTGCCGTGTTGACACTTGGGCAGGCGCATCAGGCAAGTCAGATGCAGATGCAGCAAATGCAGGCTGGGAGTTGTCTAATAGATGTGTGCCATGCAAAGCTTGCTCGGCGAGAGCTTGCTGAGCAACACAGCCACACTTGTCTTGCCTGAAAGCAGAACATGTGCAAAGTGTGCTTAGAATGGTTTAGAAAGTGTGACGTGAACGGATGCCCACTCTGAGTTGCTCACGGAACATGTTTGAGGGTGGCGAACTGTGTTGTGCATGTGCAGTTGCGACCTGCCATGACTTTTGCACCAGGGCCGTCAAAGCTTTCATGAATGTTTTAACGATGCAAGGTGCTTGAGCAAGAGCGTTTTCCTTGAATGCTGAGCATCATAGACCACCAGCCAGAGTTTGTGTGTTATAATAAGAGGCGATGTTGCGTAGACGGTTCAACGTTACGTAGCGGGTGCAGTTAGTGAAGCAGTTGGAGCTTGGAGTTTCCTGTTTGTTCTTCAGCTGCCGAGCAATGTCTGCATTGAGTTCGCTTGCTGTGTTTACACTGGGGCAGGCGCATCAGGCAAGTCAGATGCAGCAACAGCAGGCTGGGAGTTATCTTGGAGATGTGCTGTTGTAGGCAGCGGAAGATCGCACGCTGTGTGATAGTTATTATGCCTAGGCACAATTGGAGCTTATCCACGCTTGTCTATTATAGCGACTATCAATCCAGAGGCATGCAAGTGATGTGCAATACTGCATTTGCACACATGCTTGCTTGAGTGGATTCGCATATGTGAGCGAACATTTTGATTTGCGTTCAGAGGTATTTTTGTTTGGGGAGGGGAAAGCTTGTGATCTGCACAACGAGCTTGACCATGCCGCCTATGCCAGGTTGAGTTCTTGAATTGTTGTGCTCAGGCAAGTTGCTGTTGAGCAGCAAGAACTCGTTTCAAATCACTCATCGCACAGAACGGCTGGGTATTAGACTAGGTGTGGCACCTTGAAATGCGGACGTAGGCGTTTCATGCACTTGATTACCTCCAGCCTCCACAGTTGGCCTGCAGGGGTAGCTGTAGTCAATAGGTATTGACGGTATTGACATCTGTCCTTTCCCCATAATTTCTGAAATCCATAGTGTTATGAAGAGTGGTCACTGCTTGGTTGTGAGATGGTCATGGTCACTGGGGAGGGTGAGTTTTTGGCCCCTTATGCACATGGATGATGAGTACTCTCCAGCAGATGAACGAAAGGAACACCAGCAAAAAGGAAACCACTTCTAATTTTAGAGCAATCTGTTGGGGAAAGGATCCCCATTTGGAGCACCCAACAAATTGCTTGTTTCCTTGTTGTTCCTCGAGACAACACACACCCTTCTAGCATCATTTAGCTATGCATGTATGGAGAACTACCTCACAAGTGGCTAGTGGACTAAAAAAATCATGATTTTCCCTTCCTTTTCTTTGGAGGAACAAAGTTTTGACCGTGGCTTATATGTGCGGTCAAAACACTCTGTTGGTGGGATGCTCATGGACAGATCTCAGACATGTAAGGATTTTGTGGGAATGGGTGGGAATGTTTTGGAGGCTTCAGACTTGCGCTTTCGGTCTGGTGTCGGAAAAAGGCCGACATGATGGGGGGGGCCCGGCCAAAGGCCTCAAGTCCGGTGTCCTGTTGTTGTTTTACTGGGAAAAGGCCCTGCTGGACGTGGTTGCCTAGTTTCGGAAGCATCCTCGTGTTCCTTCTTAATGCCGCAAAACACACATAACTTGGATTGCGTGATGATGATGGATATCCTAGAGTTTCTGAGTTGGGGCAACCATGATCACAAAGGCATGATGTGTCAGCATTATGCTAGCTCTAGAATTTTGGCGAACAAGCTGGAACGCATGTTGATCAATCAGTGAACGGCATGCTTGACAATATCATCTTCAAGCACCCATTCTTGACTACAGGTTCCTGCAGCCGGCAGATGCGATCCCTAGCCGTTAACGTCACATAATTCCAAGGGAAGATCGAACCTCGCTGTCCACCGCCGCCACTGCGTGTGAGGGTCGCTTGGTTTCTACTCATAGCGGTCTGAGTGGATGGTTGTTCAGGTTCAAGTCTTGGCGTGTGGGTGATCGACGCCTATTGTCGCCCTTTGTCCACAAGCAGACTGGAAGCATGCTTCGGGTGATGCCAGTCTTTCAAAACCCCTTCCGGCAAATTTGCCACACGTACTGAAATCAGGCTCTCTCCCTGCAAGCGAAGCTAGCTGCTAGCTTAGTAAAAGCAGGTTTCCGGATCATTCTCAAGTGGCTTGGAAGACTTGATGAGCTTGCTCGTTTGCTTCCAAGCTTTTCGCCAGCCAGTCGGACAGCAGTTCAGAGGGTTTGTCCAATGTTCACAGTTTGCTTCGGATGTTTGGGACCACATCTTAGGGTCCCCACGTCGCGATCTAAGCATGTGGTTTGTCGAGTTCCAAGCTGAACCAGTGGTAATCCATACATTGCTTCTTTGCGGGAAACTCACAGATTGCCAGCAACAGATGTGGCTTCGGTTGGTGCATCTGAGATTGCTCGCCCTTCAGCCCCAGGCTACAAAATTGGACAAATTGGTTGGGCCCTCGAGGCGCAACTTGTCCTAAAACAGGGGTCAAAGGAGTACATCACTCCAGTCTCTTTCTACCCCCACGGGGTTGCTGCCCATGTCAGGCGCAACCGCAAGGGCAGCAAGGGCCGCAAGGGCAGGGGACGCCAGGCACGTTTCCGCGCGCTCGGCGTGGGGCTTTGGGCTTTGGGAATGGCTGCGATGAGAACGGCCGGGTTTTGTGTTGAGAACACGGTCCAGACACTTCCATCGTTGATCCACGTGGCTGCTTGTCAGAATTTGTGGGATATCTGCCAGCACATATGGTGATCTCACTTGACAAAACCAGGGGGGTCCCTTGTTTCATTTTTAGGGATCATTGTACCGGATTTCCGCCATTTCCCTTCTATAATCCTCCAAAAGTCGCAATTTCAATGGAAACCACCAGCAACTTGCACCTGTTCAGGGGATCCTCAACCGGTTCATTCCCAGATTCCCTACTGAGAACCAGCAAACAATGGATGGCGATGGATGGGATCTACTTTCACCCAATGACCTTGTCGCCAGGCGACTGGTGGGGCTGGCCGGCGAACCAGGCACGGTCGGACAAAACTCCGGAGGACCATACCTTGGTGGCGTGTCTTTTGTATCTAGGACTTCGGAAATCGTGGGTTTTCCTTT